GGCATATTACGACTAGCTATTTAAAATATTACGTCGAGACGCAATGGTGAATATTTATTTAATGAAACATTTAGCATTTCTCCTTGTCCGTACAAACCAGCTTTTATTCAGCTCAAAAGATTCTACTTGTCAAAATATATACATTCAATAAAACCGAATTATAGACAATCAAATATATCATTTTTTCGAAGACTTTTATCCGTTTATTTAAAATCCTGTTTTCTGTATATATTTGAATAATGATTGATGACTAGCTGAAAAAATTACGAGTTTATATAGTTCACTCGGTTTCCACCTTCAAATGTTTCTTAAAAGTTCGTCTTGTCTGGGAAAATAATAAATCAAGTATTCTAACTGGCTATGATTGGTCATTATTATGGGTCTTTCTTAGCATGCATTCGTGGGAGATTATTCACAGATATTTAACCTAGCCTCTGTGATTAGGTGTCTTTCCACGTGACTAGAGCATGAGAAGATTTGCTGCGCCAATTATATTTACAGTCTTAGAGCATTTGATAGCATATTCATGATTGTTGGTAACGAAACGCACATGGACATTGGAAAAACATGTAAATGTCTAGACCGGCTGCAGCAATTGCCCTCCAAGGCATAATTGATGGCCTATTATTGATTACTGTTGGATCTGATATGGCTTCCCGTTTAGACAAAATGTACATATTAAACAAGATTATGCTTCATGGTTTTTTGGAATTCCGGATCATTCTTCAATTGCATATAAATTAGTTGTTCTTTTTGGCCCAGAAATGAAGGGCAGTACTCGGAAATGTAGAATTCTTCTTTTTTGCTGGGGAATAAAGATATGTTATTTCTAAAAATAAATTCTCATACTCTTCCGTTAGTACACAATAGATCAGATCCTATGCATCTCTGATGATATGTTTTTCATTAATACATGGGGGTCAGCTAATCATCTTTGATCTATGCCTTGTTATTCTAATAAATCAAGCCGTAGGCTTAGTCGAATTCGTGCAGGTTAAGTTCCCACATTTCATGGGTTTGTATGACAGAAATAGGGCCGCCAAGCTAAGTCCTCTGGCGGGGCGGTTCGAACCCCGACCTATGCTGATAGGATGATGAGGCGACATGGGAACCGCAGTTATATCTGGTATAGAAAGACAGTTCTTGAGGCAAGGTAAAGTGAAGTGCAAAAGAAAGTACTTCTTTTTTAAGAATTGGTGGAAACTGGTACAAATCGACCACAGTCAATCTGATAGCTACAAAATCTACTTTATCTAGTTGATCGGTAGGACGTGTGACAGCTAAAACTGGCGAAAGATGGCGGTAAAGGATAGGTCATGATTTCCATCTTCGGTAAATTCGCACTTCAATGCGTCGGAGTTGGCGTATAAGCAGGAAAAATAAGCAAACGGTCGGCACAAAAAATTGGTTGTTCTAAGCGTAAGAAAGGAGTATCAGAGAAACCGGACAATTGTAATACGGGTCAACCCAGGCTTGTGAAATGAAAAACCTCCCATGACGGCGATTACGCCAAAAAGGGATTTTAAGAATAAAATATATACATTTCACATAGCCTTGCTTTGCCAATAGTTGTTCTCATCCAGGCACCAGTGGACTACAGTTTCGACCTCGCATTGGTCTTATCAACACCCTCAACGGGAGTCGAACCACGACAGTTCTGGTTGGGAGCTTGACACGCTAACCACTTGGCTACATTGCCACGAGCGGTTCGACTCACGTTGAGGGTGTTGATAAGACCGATGCGAGGACGAAACTGCAGTCCATTGGTGCCTGGATGAGAACAACTTTTGGGAAAGCAAGGCTATGTGAAATTCAATTGAAACTTCAGCTCAACTCATATATGGGAAAATTCTTTTTCTACCAGTCCTTCATCACCTTAGACGAAATTGGATGTATACATCTCGTATTACTGATTTACTGGTAGTCACGAAAACAATACTTAATTCGAAAAATAAAATATTTGACAAAAATATTTGCCGAAAGTTGGTAGAATAAGTAAACTAATCATGCAGGGAAATCCTTTAGGTTACCCATAATAACGAGTATCGCCATCGGTAGGATGTCGAAACTTTGCTTATATACGAAAAATATAATTAACTAATTAATAATTAACTTTGAAAGAGATTAAGGAGTAACTAAGTAAACGAACGAATGACTGAAAAAACGATAAATGACTGACCGATTGACTGGCTTCCTGAACGAGTGATAATTTGCATATAGACATACGGACCCAGTCGATTGTTATATCAAAAATACCTTCGCTTCATCGAAAATCCCACCAAAGAATGTGATATAGGAAAAAGCCCGGCATTTCTTGAAATCTACATTTCTCCTGTGACTCACAGGCACTTATGGCGTACTGGTTAACGTGTCGAGATAACACGCTGTACCTTCATGCTTCGATTCCCACTGGGGGTGTTGATATGACATATGCGAGGCCGAAATTGAGATCCACTTCAGCCTAGATGAGAACAACTTTTGGGAAAACAAAGCAATGTGATATTCACTGGAAACATCAGCTTTGCGCATATCATTGTGGAGAATTTATACTACCAGACCTTCATCACCTCATATTACTGATTAACTGATAGTCTCTAAACTCTACTTAAATACGAAACATGAATAAATGAATTTCTGACTGCTTACTTGTCTGATTGAGTAAAGATTTAACTCAATTTTTAACCGAATTAATGAGGGACTGTCTAAAATACTGAGTAGCTAAATTACATAATGACTAAAGGACTGACAGATTATCTGAATCACTGAATCAGCGTCAGAATGATCGACTGATTTAGTTATCTTTCGTATTTAAGTAGAATTTCGAGACTACCAGTAAATGAGTAATGTGAGATGTAGTCACCCTATTTAGTTTAAGGTGATGAAGGACTGTTAGTAGAATTTACCTACAATGATATGAGTAGAGCTGATGTTTCCATTCAATTTCACATAGCCTCGCTTTCACAAGAGTTGTTTTCATCTAGGCTAAATTCGACCTCAGTTTCGGCGTCGCATAGGTCATATCAACACCCCCGGCAGGACTAGAATCGTGACAGTGCAGAATGAAAGCTAATGAGTCAAGAAGACTCACCTGCAAATCCATAAACCTCTTTTGATGATATATAAAGTTAGCTTGAATTTGGTTCACGATGATACCTTCCTCTGAACATGTCCAGCATAAGACGGAAGAAAGTTTAGCACCTTTCCACCGGAATCAATGGAGATTAACTCGAAAACAGCGTCAGCATGAATGTTCCAGTAAAGTCAATCGACAGATGGTCAAGAGAAATCCGCCGTCGTCTTCTGGTGGAATTGAACTTCGAATCTCTTCACCAAACACTTTCACTCGAAATGGAAGTAAACTCAACAATTATGAAACAAGAGAGTCATAGAAACCCAACGTGTCTTCTTATGACTTTATGACTAATTAACTGAGTAGGTAACTGAATGACTAAATGTCTTACTAACTGTGAGTTTAACATTCTAACTCATGGATCGACTGAATAATTGAATGAATGAAAGACTAAGTGACTATTTAACTAAATTAATGAGTGATTAATGATTGAATGATATAGTGAATTCTTTACCGACTCATATGAATAATTGAATGTCTTTATTACCGACTGTATAATTGACTATCTGAGTGTCTAACTGACATATTTAATGGATGCGTGTGTGAGTAACCCACTGATCGAGTAAATAATTGTCTAACTAACAAACTGAATGACTAACATATTCAATGATAGACAGAGTGACTGAATGTTTAAGTATCTGAATGACTGACCGATTGAACGCTTGGTTCACTGTTTTTCACTTTTTTCTCGTTACTTTTGTTGGCAGGACATAATAAATTTGAGATGTATTCACCCAATTTCGTTTAAGATGATAAAGGACTGGCAGAAGAAGAATTATCCCACAATGATATGAGTTGAGCTGACGCTACCATTGAATTTCACATAGCCTTGCTTTCCCCAAAGTTGTTGGAAAAGCAAGGCTGTGAAACTCAATGGAAGCGTCGGCTCAACTCATATCATTGTGGGAAAATTCTTCTTCCACCAGTCCTTCATCACTTTAAACGAAATTAGGTGAATATATTTTATATTACTGATTCACTGGTAGTCACGAAAACAATACTTAATTCGAAAAATAATAAATTTGCTTTCTCTTTCAACTGCTACTGTGGAACTATATCTTTCCGGCAAAAGCAACTCTCCGAATCTCTTCCTTACATCCCTTCTGTCGAAGTGAAATTCCGCATCTCATCACTTTTCTAAGCAGGCCCTTAAATCTCAGCTTTCTCTCCTGCACGATTGACTGATTGACTGATCGACTGATTGACTAAATTGCCGAATAAGCGATCTATTGAGTGAGTGATCGAATGGCCGCGAAAAGAGCAGGAAGACCATCATGTGGAACCTGTCAAAAGGGCGTTGCATGACATTTTTGCGAGTAACTTTGCAGCTAGTCGTGCTTCCAACTTCATTCCGATCCAAAACCTGTGGATGGATCAATAAACGAGGCGGTATTTTAAACAGACGCCAAAATGTCGCCAAATCCCACAGCTTGTCTGTTCTACTCGCCCGGGTTCAGTTAGTAGCCCGTTTATTTTGTCACAATTTCTGCACCGGCTTGGTGAGACACAACATGTGCTCCAGTCGTTCTACCGCCAGCCCCGGACGCTGTACTCTGGCATAGCGATTGCGCCATTTCGGCCCTCTCCTAGCCCCGTTGTGCCATCGCAACCAGCGTTCTCGCCTCTCGTAGCGTCGTTACGAGGCCGTCTCGCAGGGCAACCAGCGATCACAGGCAACCTCATGTAGGGCCGACTGACAGGCATGCAGGCCACCACCCCGCCCGGGCCAGCTCGTCGTGAGCTCGAAACCCGGTCGCACTTTGTCGGCCTGACGGCCCGCCTCGAATCGCAGACTCGAGTCACTACAATTCAGGTAGACGTGGAGACCGCGCTCGTAGCTTTTTCACCTCATCTCCCCGTCGATGACAACTTAGTACAGGTCCTTGGGTCGGGCATTACGTCGTGCAGACTCGCTTTTTCGTGTAGCCTAGAGTCGAGTTCTTCTCTTGAACGAGCCCTCGAAGAAGCAGAACATGTTCTCTTCGCGATATCAGGTCTTTCGGGAGGCTTGGCAACAAGGGGCATAAAGGGCATTTTGTGTGGTACCAATTGATCTTTTGCCAAACTCTAAGGGTTTCCCTATGCCTCGATGTTGACAACCTCGACTGGCCGTCATCACCTCTTTCTCCTTGTCTTGGCGACCGTTTCCAGGGCCTGCTTACATGCCACAGTCTCCCTCTTTCCTTCTGTCTACTGTCCTCAGACCATTCGTCCGGCTCCCTTGAAGCCCAACCAGGCAGGAGTAGAAAGCCCCGAGGTCGTCTGTTTCGCTGTCCTCTCTGCCCAGCCCGTTCGGCCGAGCCTCCTCATCGTCGGTGTCTTAGTGCCCGAAGGCTGATGGCCGCCTCACGATGGTCCTTGGTCTACCGGCGCCTCGGCGGACTCGTCTCTACCGTCCTCTTCATCGGCGTCTGCTACACAGCCAGCTTGTCACTGATTCCACGTGAAGCCTTGTTTCCCACCTGTCAGTATCTGTACCTGCCTCCGTTGCCAGGGCAATCGGAGGCAAGTGTCAATTCGAGTCAAGTCGGAGGAGATGGTGACGAGGCGAGCCTTTTGTCGGCCATCGTGACTGCCGGTCAGGCCTCAGACTCTGGAGGCAGACGAGACGAAACCGAGCCCCCCGGCAGCCAAAAAATCAGATTTAAGGCGGGTCAACGTGTACTTCCGTTGGCTTGGTTACGCGATAAGACGAACCGGAAGAAGTCGA